GCCACAGCCTATGTCTGTCTTTTCAATATCGTATCTCCAGCACCACGCCTTACCCTTAATAGGCTCTTAATAAATATTTACTTAAATAAATATTTAATGAATGAATGTTGAAATCTTTAGTTTTTGTTTTATGTATTATTTTATGAGCACCCTATTTTCACACACATAAAAGACAATATTAATTTCCCAAAGATGACAGAAAATGTCACACAAGGTCATAAAAACCGTGCTGGACCATCTCTGTATCATGAAGTGCCAAAAAGAAGTTTTTTTCAATTCCATATATGTCATTCTAAGCTTGACTCTTATACACCACATGCTGCAAATTTTGCAAGGTCAGCCATAGCCAATCCAGTAAATGAATCTGGAATGAGTTTAGTACTGATTAAACTTCCCAAGTATCTCTACGGGAAACAAGACCCAACAAAGTGGATTTCTATTTCCAAATCAGGGAAGCTGAGAAAAACTTTTCAAGAACAGCTCTGCCTATAATAACATGAACATTAGATTCAGAAAATGTACTCATTAACCCAAATAGCTTACTCAACAATAAACTTTCTCAGTATTATAAAATAAGTTTTCCTTCTGCAGTTTCTTCATTAGTGACCATTCATCAGGAAGTCATACCACATCAAGGGATGCCCATAATAGACTCAATATTCTCCATTTAATAATAAGCAAGCCATTGTCTTCTCATTCATGGTTGTTAAAAAAAAGAAGAGAGTATTTTCAAAGTATGTGCGTCTGGTTAGGAGAGAATAAAATAAACCCAGAGTTACAAAAAAGTGACATTTTTGTTTCCTGATTCAGTACAAGGAAAGCCAGAATCCGCAAGTCCTGAGTTTTTTCTGGTGTGGGGTCCTAGAGTTTAAGCACTGATCCAGACATGAGTATTGCAAAAACAGAATGAGGTATCTTGCTAAGGTGGCAATGCTCGGAATGGTCGAAATATGTTCCATCTTTCTGGGAAATGTCTCTCCGTTTTGTAATAAAATCGGAATGACTTCCCAACCAAGATGTAGTCAATGAAGAAAAGCAAGAACTTTCCAGTTTTCCAAATGCAGGGAGTTAACAGTTAGATAACTGTTTATAAAAGTGAATCCGGTAAAAAAGGGGCTCTCTCAATGATAAATATTTATCTTATTCTGAATGTCTAGTATGGGAAAAGAACATATTAAAAGTGTTGGCCAAATATGGTAAGTATCAGTCTCTACAGAGTCTCCAAACCCTATGTTCAGAATGTTCTCTAACTAAGATTTGTATGTTTTATTCCCAAATGGATTAATGGCAGCAGACAGGGAAAAAAGTGAGGGCAAACCAAAATAACATAGAACCCAGCACAATTATTGTGCAACTTCTGTGATACTGTCTCTTTTTCTAAGTCTGCTGTCTAAATCCTGTCTAATCTCAGAAAGCAACTCCTCTCTGACTCACCTAGATATCACCTCCAGCACTTCTTACCCTCACATACATAACTGTATTCTGCATTATATGACTGTCCTGTGTGTACTTACACTTTTGAGCTCCATGTAGACATCCTTACTTATCCGTATAATACCCAGTAGGGTTCCTTACCCATGGAATATAATACATAACCTTCTTGAGTAACTGTCCCTGCAACTTTTAAAATTCGTGAGCAGTTTATCATAGTGTAACTGCTAAAGTCATACTAAACTGCTATAATTAAACTTGAATTTAATATAGAAACATTTAAAGATACCTTTACTATGTAGTAATTTATACAAATGGAAGAAATTAGCATGAAAATAATATAATTATTTTTTCCTCTTTTAACTTCATTGTCTCCTAGTATCTCCAAAAGTATTTCTGTTGATGATCTTCCCTGCTACTATGTGCTGTTTACCTGTAGCAGTCATTATTTAGGCATAGTGATTCTCACATAGGTCTAGTATCTTACTCCCCAACATCTGGGATTCTTTTTATTTTGAATCCCTCTGTTGTCACTCTCCTGGTTGTGTCATTCATACCCTCATTTTTATTTGATCTATTCTTTGATTCCAAATAGCCAAGGACTCTTTCCCCTGAATTCAGGGGTAAATAGGGCATTTAAAGCAAAACAAACTGTGGCTCTTACATAGTAGTGGGGGTGAAGGTAACCGTAGGATGTCAATTCTGAAACAGGTGACCAGGTTAGGGCTGATATTACAGAAAGAGTCAGAGGGAAATGAAGAAGACTCAAGAGAATGAACAATGGATCCCTGGGGTCTGGGATAAGAAGAGCTAAAATGATAAGAGGCTGTTGTTGGAAGAAGTGTGATAATCCATATGGCTTTGTTTATGACATTTGCTGCAGTTCTAACTAGAAAGGACTAAACACGGCCAAAGATGCAAGTGCTGGGAGAAACAGCCTGACAGCACTGTGGCCATCCCCCAGGAAGAGTAGCCAACAGATTCCTATTGTAGTGGCCAAAGGCTAAACTCAGGCCCAAGGTAGGCTAGAATCAATGGCTAAAAGTCAAGTTTAGTAACTAGGCAAGGCAAGGTGGTAGGAATATCTCGGTGGGAGTGGGCTTATTTACCAGGAGATGATTCAGTCAGATTCAAGGAGGTCTTTCTGTGCTAAGAGGAGCTCCTGAATGGCAACTGGCTGAAGGTTCAGAGAAACCTTTTAGCCATAATAGAAGACTGGCGTGCAAATTAGGAACCAGAGGAGAAGTCCAAGCACACAAAATAAGGGGCAAGTCCGACAAATGAGGGAGGGAATTATGACTCAGTGCACACAGTGGCCAGGGCACACCATAAACCCCATTTGGAAGAGGAAATTAGTGACAGCCACACCCCCTCAGGGCAGACAGAGTTCTGAATTTATTGTTTCTTTCGTTCCAGTTAATTCACAGGGCTAAGATTACAGGACCATTTGTACCTGTGTTGCATGTCTCAGGAACAGGCAGGTAAAAACACAGGGAAGAAAGACAGGAAGCATAGCCTAGGCTATGGACACTCCCTACCATCCACAAGAGCCTGAAAAGCCTGGCACACTCCAATGTACTGTTCAAGACCCAGGCCCAACATTTCTATTTCCTCCAAGTTTTACTTATGTTTTCCATGCACTGTGGGCAGTTGGGAAGTGATGGCCATCACCAACTCCACTGCCATCATCATCACCATAATCATTGCTACTATTAATTCCTTCCGGGTCAACATCACCACCTCAGGAATTAGATGATGACCCCTCTGCCCTTAAAATGTCATCCAACTGCTCATGAATAATCGATATTGTTTTTAAAGGGTTTTCATTCCAAAATTAGACCCAGTATTTTAAATAGTATATAACTTAGAGGCTTATCGAATTTCTGTGAATGATGTTTAAAGTATAAATGGGCTGTTCCAGTTCAAACACTTTTAGCTGGAGATAGCAGAAAATCAGTCTCCAATTGGCTTAAACAATACAGGGAATTGATTGGCTCAAGTGATGAGAAGTCCATAGGGAGAGCTGACTTCAGGTGTGGCCTGAGCCAGTGGCTAATAGCACTAAGCACCAGGTTTCTTTCTTTCCTTGTCTTCTGTGGTTGACTTCTTTCTGAGGTAAGCTTGCAGAACTGCTAGCCTATAGCCATGTTTATTTCTGTACAGTGGGAAAGATAGACTATCTTTGCTTCAGCATGCCTAGATAATGCCTGGTACTTCACTATGATTGGATTATCTTTAGGGGCGTGCTCACTTGGAAGACGATCACTGTGTGTTTTGATTGGCTAAGCAGAAGTCATGGGCTCTACCCTGGGTCCTGGGGTGAAGCCAGTTTCACCAGAACCATGTGAGTTCTAAAGTGGAAACTGAAACTGTTGGAAAGGAGCAAAGAAAGAATGAATACCAAAAGTAGTATCAATTGGTGTGCTGAGGTGCAAACACGAAACTAACTCTAGTACAGAAAGAAACTTATTAGAAGGACATTGGGTAGCTCAACAAACTATCAGAAAGGCTGAAAAACCAGGCTGGGTAAAGGTACCTGTATTAGTTTGCTAGGGCTGCCACAACGAAGTACCACAACCCAGTGACTTAAACAGCAGAAATCTATGGTTTCACAGTTCTGGAGGCTAGAAGTTCAAGATTAAGGTGTCATCAGGGTTGGTTTTGTCTAAGGGCTGTGAGGGAGACTGTTTCAGACTTCTTTCCTAGCTTCTGGTGGTTGGCTGGCAATCTTTGGCACTCCTTGCCTTGCAGATGCATCACTTTGATCTCTGCCTTCATGTTCACTGTCATTCTGCTTATATGTAGGTCTGTCTCTGTGCCCAAATTTCTCTGAAATGGAAGGCTGGAAAAGTCATACTTTTCCTATTCTGCATTTTGTCCTTGAGGTGACTCAGGTTGTCAGAAAAGAAGCTGTGTTTTGAGGTTCTTTTATGCTGGGCAGGGCACATGAGCAGACTGCAGGCGAACCATGCTCAGGAGTTAGGGCTTCTGCGGGGCCTGTAGAATTGTGGCAGAGGCTAAGATGTCCTGATACCAGCACACTGCAAGCTCACAGGACACCCTGATTAGCCCAATCCAACACTGATTCATTTGCTTTTGAAACAGTACTAAGAAATCTGTGTCTCCAAGATAAGCTTAATCAGTGATAGGTTAACTTTTATAATAATGTAAAATATGTTGGTTCCACTTGTCCCTAGTGACAACTTATCTCTCTATATGTCCACTTCTCTCACAAAGTTGTATCTTTCTGGAGGTTAGATGATGTCTTATTTATTGTATATTTTCAGTGCCCAGGCCAGCAGCTGGCATTTGCTGCCCAGCAAATGTCGGATGGATTAGTGAATGGATGAATGAAAAACATTGTGTGTGTATGGTGTGTGTGTGTGTGTGTGTTGATTTTGAGGATGAAGCAGGGATGGGGAAGTTATTAAATAGCTTTAAAAGGCTCTCAATTTGAGATTTCTTCAGAGTAGTTCTGCTACGATCCATGACTATGTCTTATTTTTATCAGAGGTATGTACGTGGTAAAACAATAAGAAACAAACAGAGATTGCAGGACATACACTTACTCTCCCAGAAAAGCAGGGCTTCTTGGTCCTGTGTTTTCATCCTGGCAGAGGTTTCTAACATTGGGGAGTCAGGGTACTTCTGTTCCTTCTCCAGTGAGACACCCTGGATATGAGTAGAGACACAGCTTTTGCCAACTTGTACCTTCCTAAAGTGACCTTGAACTGAGTTTTCATTACATGTGTTCTAGATTACTACTTACTGGTATGTATTTTTACTCATATCCTGAAAATCAAACAAATAATAACATAAAATGATTTCAAAACTGAACAGAGAACAGAATTTAAAATGTTTTAGCCTGTGATGCCTTCAACTCTGAAAATGCATTAGCTCAGCCTTTTGAATTTGATTTTCCTAGGAGTTCCAGAAGCAAACAAGAATTAATTTCAAACACAAAACTGTCTTATTTGTATAATACAAGTTTGAACTTAGTTAGAAAAAAACATGTTTTTTAAATTAAATTTCCTTTGAAAAACAAAGGCTTAAGAGGAAACTGTTTTGGAAAACTTGAAATTTCAAAAAATAAAACTTGAGGGAAAATAAAAATGGTTTTAGGGTTTTGTGAAAAATCCCTGATACTGCTGAGCTCTCTCCCTCCCTCATTCATAATAGAAACCGTTCTTAACACTCTTTGGAGTCTCAACATTGAAATGGAACCTCTTTGGAAGTTTCAATAAAGTGTAATTTACTCATTTCTTTATTACATTGATTCTTCCGTTCTCCCTTTGATTATAATCTCCAATTAAAATGCAAATGATAAGAAATTGCAAATAAAAAAATTTCAGACATTTACTTCTCAGTATAAGAGCAACTTTGTTTGAATGGCCAGTCACAATCAGAAATATACAAACTAAACACATGTCAGTTACCTTTTGTACTAAATTAAATTCGAAGTTTCTTCAAATTTGAAACATAAAATACCTGACTGATCTGCAATTTAAATTATATATTTAGAAAAGTTTATTTAACAAGCAGGTCTTGAGTGGCATCCTGTTAGGCGCATGTCTAACAAGGAAGATTTTTAAAAGATATTTCTGTACATCTATGGTGTGTAACTTTTATTCACATCTTACTTCAGACCTAGCTCCTAGACTTCTAGTATAATATTCTATTCTACTTCATTTTTATAAAGGTATTTTGTTTCCCTTGTGTTATATCTTGTGATTATTTTCCTAGTTTAAAAATCTTACATTCATGCCTCATTGCATGAATGTTCTGTATATGTTACTACAGCAGCCTTTAATTACTGGACCCATCAGTAGTCCCACTAGTTTATAGTAATAACAGGAATCACACTCTTATTATCAAGTGTCTTAGTCCATGTTTCTGTTGCTTATAACAGAATACCTGAAACTGGATAATTTGTAAAGAAAAGAAATGTATTTCTTATACTTATGAAGGCTGAGAAGTCTAAGGTTGAGGGGCTGTATCTGGTGAGGGTCTTCTTGCTAGTGGGAATTCTTCAGAATGCTAGGGCAGTGCAGGGCATTATTTGGTGAGGGAGCTGAATGTGCTAGCTCAGGTCTCTCTCCCTCTACCTATAAAGCCACCAGTCCCACTCCCATGATAAGCTATTAATCCATTAACCTATATTCCATCGATCCATGAATAGATTAATTCATTCATGAGGGCAGAGATCTTATGATCCAATCACCTGTTAAAGGCCCCACATTTCAAAATCGCCACATTGAGGATTAAATTTCAAAGCGAGTTTCTGAAGATATAAACATTTAAACCGTAGCGTTAAATCTCCTGATAATCTGGGTAGGGGTAGTAAACTCAAATGCATTTATTGCCTGGTGGGTGACATAAAATGTGAAAGAAATAATAGGGAATGATTCTAGGCAAACTGGAATGCCTAAAAGTCTTTCAAATTCATTTAAGAACATCATGCTAGCCAGATAGAACATATCTGTGAGTATTTTGTTTGCTTGTTTCTGGATTTTGGTTTTCTTTCTTAACATTTTAGACAATGAAAAGACATTATAGACCTTCTTTTTAAAACACAAATACTTAGATTTGTGGTCTGTGGCTTACTCTTGACTATGGTAAAAATAAGTACTTAAAAATGTTTTCTGATGAGAGTGCTGTTAACTAAAATAATAAAAATACTAATAACTGAAAACCAATTTTCATTGCCAGACTAACTTATGAGAGCCATATGACATATTGAATTCCCAAGAACTCTTATGATTGCATTGCTCTTTTTTATATATTATTGTTTGAGAGCTCTTGTGGGCAAATTTTTACTCCATGTATTTAATAGGAATCATTAGGCATGGTGTTTGTTTTCTATAGTGCTAACTTTAAAGTCAACTCAACACTCTTCTAAATTCAGCCCAAATTCAGAGGGAATGCTCAATTTACCACTACAGAGAAGGAGCCGATCTCGAAAGAATAATGGGAAAGAACACAGATGCTTTAAAAAAAATCTTACAAACACAATTTAGCATAGACACAGAACAGGAAGAGAAAATAAAGACTGACTAATCAGCAGTGGACCAGGGTGTTCCCTGAATCCTTAAATCTGGAAATTATTAATTCCCATTTTTTCTCTCACCTCCCCAAAGGTTCAGTGCATACATTGATGTCTGGAGTAAAATCCACACAAGATGCATTTTCACCACAGCATCTGGTCCTCTGGGAACTCCACTGCCTGCTTTCTTGATGCCTTTAACCTTTTTTGTCTGAAGTATGTTCTGGCAGCCAAAGATGTGTCTGAATTACTTTGTGTTTTTAGGAATCCCACTTTCTCTTCTCTCATAAAATCTGCAACCTGGTGTAGGGATGTTAGAAATATGTTTCCTGAGTCCACACACTTTAGGGATGGTAATAGAACTGTTCACTTTAGATCCATCCACATTTCAGTTCTCATCCCACCCAGAGACTGGGGTTTCCTTTTGTCAAATGGTCTGTAGTTAAAACCATAAACCTTCTGGTGATCAGTGAAATCATGTCTTTGTTGTCTTGGCCTGATGAATGAGGTAGGTATTAGATCTCTGTTTCGTGAACAGAATACAAAATGAAGTGAGTATAAAAAGAAAAACCTATACAGTTTTTAAGAGCAACAGTACTCAAGTTTGAAAAAATACTTTAGATCTATTATACTATTGTTGGCATCAAACCCAGATGCTTTGTTATATTAAAAACATCTTTTTTAAAAAATCAACCATTTTAAGAAAGGTATGAACAGCCTAAAATATGTATCTTCCAAAAAAGTTCCTTCCTTTTGTGAACTAAATCCAAACATGTTACATGATGGGAATCAGATAAAACTGCAATCAGTGGCCTTCCTCCTCTAAATGGAGGTGACTTTTCAAAATGGTATGACCCAGATGCAGTTTTCAGTGTCTTTGGATCACATTGAAGATCACAGCCACAATGATTAAAGTTTTCCAAAAGATGCTTTATAAATTTTTGTATACTTTTTCTATTTCAATTCCAGGCTGTGGGAGATTACTAACAGTTCAGTATTTTTTTCATTCTTTTTTTTTTTTTTGGCATATTATGGGGATACAGATTTTAAGGTTTCAATAAATGCCCATTTCCCCCCCTCCCCCCAAAAGTTCTGGAGTCTCATCATGACCATCCCCCAGATGGTGTACATCTCACTCACTATGTATGTATATACCGCCCCCCTCCTTCCCACCTGCCCATACACTATTACTGTTAGCACTATGTGTCCACTTAGGTGTACTCAGTTAATACCAGTTTGCTGGAGAATATATCTGGTGCTTGTTTTTCCTTTCTTGGGTACTTCACTTAGTAGTATAGGTTCCAGCTCCTAACCAGGAAAATATAAGGTGTGCTATATCACCATTGTTTCTTGAGCTGAATGTACTCCATGGTGTACATATACCACATTTTATTAATCCATTCTTTGATTGATGGGCACTTGGGCTGTTTCCACAGCCTTGCAATTATGAATTGTGGCTGCTATAACATTCGAGTGCAGGTGTCTTTTTTGTAGAGTGTCACTGGGTCATTTGGGTAGAGTGCCCAGCAATGGGATTGCTGGATCAAAATGGTAGATTCACTTGTATCGCTTTAAGGTATCTCCATATTGCTTTCCACGAGGTTGAACTAGTTTGCAGTCCACCAGCAGGTGTAGGAGTGTTCTCTCTTCTCCGCAACCCGCAGCATCTTATTGTTTGGAGATTTTTTGATAAAGGCCATTCTCACTGGTTAAGTGATATCTCATTGTGGTTTTGATTGATTTCCCTGTATTTAGAGATGTTGAGCATTTTTCATATGTTTGTTGGCCATTCTTCTGTCTTCTTTAGAAAAATTTTCTGTTCAAGTCCTTTGCCCACTTTTTAATGGGGTTATTTGATTTTTTTCTCTATATTTTCGTGAGTTCTAAGTTATTTAGTTATCAGTCCTTATCAGATGCTAGGATGCAAAATTTTCTCCCATTCTGGTAGGTTGTCTGTTTACTTTATGACTATTTCTTTGGCTGTGCAGAAGCTTTGTAGTTGGATATGGTCCCATTTATTTATTTTTGTTGCATGCTGTGATTGCCTTTGGGGACTTCTTCATACTCTTGCCAGCGATGTCTAGGAGTGTTGTCCAACTTTTTTCTTCTAGAGTTGCTAATAGTTTATGATCTTAGTTTAAGTCTGTTATCAGGTGAGTTGTTTTTTGAGAGTGAAAGGTGGGGCGGTCCTTTTTTAGCTTTAAGGTGGCTATCCGGTTTTTCCCAGCACCATTCTTGTATTGAAGAGGATTCTTTTCCCCAGCGTATTTTTTGTTCTGCTTGTCAAAGGATGATGGCTATATGGAGGGATGGTTTTATATCAGGATTCTCACATCTGTGGTCCACTGGGGTCATCTATTCCTGTTTTTGTGGCAATACCATACTTGTTTTTCTACAGCTTATTATAGTTTGGATATCTGGGGCATATTAATGCCTCCCATTTTGTTTTTGTGCTGATTGCTTGACTATTCGGTGGTCTTCTTTGTTCCATACGACAGCGTAAAGATTATTTTTGTATATCTGTGGAGAATGGTGATGGGATTGTTATAGGTATTGCATTGATCTGTAGATCAGTTTGGGTTAGTATAACATTGATTGATATTTGGAGTCTGCGATCACGAGATGGTATGGATTTCCATCTGTTTACTCTCTGTATTTCCTTCTTCAGTGTTTCATAGTTTCCCTGTAAGAGGCTTTCCCTTTGAAATATATTCGTAGGTACTTTAATTTCTTTGTTGCTATTGTGAAGGGATTGAGTGCTATTGAGTTTGTTCTCAATTAGATGTGTGTGGGTATATGAATGCCTCTGATTTCTGTGTATGTAATTTTGTATCCTGAGACTTTACTAAAATTCTTTGTATCAAGTCTCAGGAGTTCTTGGTTGAATCTTCGGGTTTTCTAGAAGTCACAATTGATATCATCAGCAAACAGTGAAGTTTGTCTCTTCTGCCCCTATTTGGATCCTTTGATTCCATTTTCCTGTCTGATTTGCTGTAGCCAAGACGTTCTAGCACTATGCTTGACAGAAGGTGGAGATAGTGGGGCAGCGTTGTTGGTTCAGTTCTAAGTTGGGAATGATTTCAATCTTTCCCCATTCAGTATGATGTTGGCTTGTATGGTCTGTCATATATGGCTTGTATCATTTTTGGTATGGTCCCTTTATGCCTGATTTTCTATAGTGTTCGTATCATTGAAAGGGTGTTGACAGTTTGTCAAAGTTTTTTCTGCTGCGATTGAGAAGAATCTGTGTCTTGTTGTGTTGTTTATGCTGTGCGTGAATTGCATTTATAGATTTACGTTGTTGAACCATCCCTGCATCCTGGGATGAAGCCCTTGGTCGTGTGGACTTTATTTTGATAAGTGTCTGGATTCGGTTAGCTTAATTTTGTTGAAAATTTTTGCAATCTATATATTAGGGATATTGGGTCTGTATTTCTTTTTTTGTTGATCCTGTTTGGTTGTATTATCTGGTAATATTCGCTTCAAAAGTGTCGGGGGGAGTTTCCGTTCTTTCTATGTTGTGGAATAGTTTCTGCTAAAAGACTAGGTACTTAGTTCTTCTTTGCTAAGTATGGTAAAGATTCGGTGTGAGCCATCTGGCCGGGACTTTTCTTTTTAGGGAGATTTATTAATGCTGTTTCTATTTCAGCTGTTGAGTGGGTTGTTCCAGGGAATCTATCTCTTCCTGGTTGAGCCGTAGGAGCTGTGTGTTTCTTAGAAATTTGTCCATTTCTCCACATTTTCCAGTTGTGTGCATAAAGATTTTTGGTATTCTAAATTGGTTCTTGCTATCTCTTTGGGATGCAGTTGTGATATCTCTTTTTATTCTGATGAGCTTCTTAGAGATTTCTCTTTCTTGCTTTCGTTAGCTTAGCAATGGCGTGTTCAATCTTGTTTATTTTTTCAAAGAACCAACTTTTGTTATTAATCTCCTGAATGAGCTTTCCTGTTTTCAGATTTCGTTTAGTTCTGATTTGATCTTGTTGGATTTCATTTTCTGCTGGGTTTGGGGTGGTCTGTTCTTTTTTCCAGCGTCTTTGAGTCGTTTCATTAGATTGTTATTGTGTGATTTCCTTTCCTTTTGGTTATACGGCATTTATGGAGATAACTTGGTCCTCTCAGAACTGCTTAGTGGTCACGAGAGTTGATAACTTGTCTCTCCATTGTCGTTTTTTCTAGAAGTTTTTATTCCGTTTGATTTCTTCTTTACGAGTAATCATTTGTAGGAGGTGTTATGTTCCACGTTTTTGTGTAGAAATTGTGTGTTTCTCGTTAGGGTTGATTTCTAGTTTTTTTTTTTTTTTTTTTTTTTTTTTTTTTTGGAACAGAGTCTCGCTTTGTTGCCCAGGCTAGGTGAGTGCCGGTGGCGTCAGCCTAGCTCACGCACTCAAACTCCTGGGCTCAGTGATCCTTCTGCTGCTCGGGTAGCTGGGAGTACAGGCATGGCCCCATGCCCGTGCTATTTTTTATATATATATCAGTTGCCAATTAATTTCTTCCTATTTATAGTTAGAGACGGGTCTCGCTCTTGGCTCAGGTGGTTTTTGAACTCCTGACCTTGAGCAATCGCCCGCCTCGCTCCCAAAGCTAGAGTTACAGGCGTAGCCACAGCGCCCGGCTGATTTTCTAGTTTATCTCCACTGTGATCTGAGAAGGATACATGGTATGATTTCTATTTTTTTAAATTTTCTTGGAGATTTTCTTTGTGTCCTTAGGATATGGGTCAATCTTAGTGAGATGTCTCGTGAGTCTGGATGAGAAAGAACGTTATCAGGTGGATTTGGTAGAATGTTCTGTGATGTCTGTCAGCGCCAATTTTCTGAATTTGTTTAATGCATTATTTTTTTAATTTTCTGTTTTGGAGGATCTGTTGTGCGTTCAGTGGGGTGTTTGAAACGCCGGTATATGGAGTTGCTATTAATCCATTTGCTTAGCTCCGTAAGGGGTTTGCTTTGATGAATCTGGGTGCACTAAGTTGGGTGCATATATATTTAAAATGTGGTATCTCTTCTTGTTGGACTGGTGCCTTCACCATGCTATATATGACCCTCTTTGTTTCACTAGCTTTTGTGGGTTTTAAAACTAAATCGGTTCTGAAATTAGAATGCCAGACCAGCCTTCTTTTGGTTCTATTTGCTTGGAATATGGAGATCTCCCCCTTTTATTTTTAGTCTATGTGCATCCTTGCAGGTTAAATGTGTTTCCTGAGACAGAAATATTGGCCTGTATTTTTCTATCCATTCAGCCAGCCTATGTCCTCTTGATGGGAGAGTTTAAGCCATTCCAATTTATTGAGAACTGATAGGTAAGGTAGATTTACTGATCATTCTGTTGGGGTTGGCATGTTGTTGCTTGAGTTTCTGTTTGGAGCCATTGTAATATCTGGCTTTAATGATCTTTTGGTTTTGGTTGTTTTAATCCGTGGATTATTTTTATGATGTTGCCGTGCATAACGTTTCTTAAGTAATCTTTCTTGTAGGCGTGGTCTTTCTTGGTGAATTCTCTGTAGCCTTTTGCTTGTCTGGGAATGTTTCTATTCTCTTCATATTATGAAGCTTAGTTTTTGGCAGGGAATATATTTAGGCTGGGTGTGTTGTTTCAAAAGGTGGAGAATGGGCCCAGTTCCTCCTTGTTGTAAAGTTCATTATGAGACAGTCTGATGGTTATTCGGAATTTGGCTTTCCCTGTTATGTCATTGGCTTTTTGTCTTACAGTCTTAGAAGGCCTCTTTAGTTGATACTTTGGTCAGCTGATGACTGCATGCGTGACGTCTTCCTGTTTGCATTGAATCTCCAGGGTCCTCTGGGCTCTCTTGAATTGATATATCGAGGATTTTGAGCAAGGCCTGGGAATTTTCCTCTATTATATCTTCAAAGCTTGTCAGCCCTTGAGTGTTGTCTTCTCCCCTTCGGCTAAACCAATGACCCTCACGTTAGGTTTTTTCACATAGTCCACAGCTCTTGTAGGCTTTTGGTCTTTTCTCTTGTTTCTCTGCTGTATTTCTGTGACTGATTTATTTAATTGGAAGGTGTTATCTTCAAGCTCTGAGATTCTTTCTTCTGCTTGATCTACCCTGTTCTTGAGACTTTCCACAGTATTTTGTAGTTCTCTGAGTTGATTCTTCATCTCCAGGACTTCGGTTAAAGTTTTCTTCACTGTGTCAATCTCTTTGCTGGACTTGTTCATTTCTTGGAGGTTTTTTGTGTTTTCTTGGTGTTGTTATTGAGTTGTTGGTTGCAGCTGGGTGAGTGGTTCTTATGATCCACATACGAAATCCTTTTCTTGTCATATGGTTGCCTGATTTTGGTCGGTGTCCGTTTCTAGGGGGCTGGCTGCCTCCTCTGGGGTGTGTTTTCCGTTTGGTTCTTTATATTCCTGAGTTCTTTCGCTGATTTCTTCCATGTCGATCTGTTGTTGTTTCTTTCTTAGGTTATTGTTTGGGTTTCACCACCTTGTTTAGTTTCTGAGGCGTTAGGTGGTGCCTGTGGGTGAAATTGGACCACTCCCTGTATATTGAGTCAGTGGATGCCGTGGCAAGGCTGTGCAAGATGCTGTCCCTGTCAGTAGGTGGCGTTTGCTTGGAGGAACAGGCTATGGTGTTGATTTCGAATCCTGTTATCAGCTCTCGTTCTGGGCGGAGCTGGGTTGGATACTCCTGCCCTCAGGCCGTTAGCAGGGGTCAAAGTTCTGTTCTCAGCTTCCAAGGAAAGCTGTCAGGTCGGGGCTGGAATGGTCCCGCTCAGCCAGAAAGTCTGGTGTGTGGGGTGGGGCTGTCTGAGCCCGCAGTCTGCAGCAGGCTCGCTTCTTTCACCCTCCAACTCTGCAGCTACTCCTGGGGCTCTGCCAGCAGGCCAGGCCACAAGCCACAGGCCTCGGACTGTGGTGCCGGCGGGGAGGTTCCTGCACAGGAACGCCACCTAGGTTGGGCGGCACGGCTCCTCCTGGGGGAGGGTTGTCCTCTAGGGCGCGATCGCCCTGGAGGCACACAGCCCTCAGTAGGCTGTTCACGTATACCTTCTGTGCCCGGGCAATGCTAGCCCACGTGCAGGGGATCTGGTCTGCAGGTCCAACTCTGGGTTCGAGTTCAAACTGTATTCCCACCAGGGAGAGGATTTCCGGTCCTAATTCCACCACAGGGAGCCAAGCTGGGTCTATGTCTCTCAGCCTCTGAGTCGGCACCGTTTTCCTGGGAACACGGTCGCAGCACCTGGGAGCGGCGGGCGGGTCCAAACGGGAAGGTCCTGTTCCCTGGAGGTGCCTCGGGCTGGTGGCTGTATTGTCTCTCTGGGCAGCCGCGGGTAGGGTCGGCGGAGGGAGGAGGAGGCAATATGGCGGCTGCCGCGCGGCTCGGTCCGTGCACACGGAGGTGCCGGAGGAAGTTGGGACCTGGTGCACGTCTGCTACAGGCTCACCGTTGGCAGGCGGCGGCAGTCTCTGGGCTGATGTCCGCAGGTCTCTCCACCCGTGGGGAGGCCCCAGCAGTCCGAATGCAGGGAGGGGACAGCAGGATCCACCTACCCTTTGCGTGGTCTCCGGGCTGCTCCAGGTGTCTCAGCTCCAGTTCTCCTCGCAGCTCCTCCGTGGAGTCTCCGGGGTTCAGGTACTCCTTCTGCCGCTTGTCCGCTGTATGGCTGTCTTCTTGCTTTTTCTCTGTTTCTGCTAGAATCGGTCTTTTCTGCAGAGACCCTCTGTCTGGCGGTGTTATTCGTCCGCCATCTTGCTCCACCCCTTTTTTCATTCTTAAAAGGTTTACTTCATTTTTTCAAACAGAGTGGTTAGAATATGATACTGTAGAAACATAATGAGAATAGCTAGGTCTATCAACTTCACACTGATATGTAAACTTGGATATTTAATTAGCCTTTATGACACTTTAAACTACAAGATACTTCTCTAATCATTTGAGGGAATCCTACTTAAAGGCATATGTTCTTAGAGTGAGAAACTGATTTGCATTCTACTACATAGCACCATTCTCCCAATAAAATGCTATGAATAGTGTGGCTATGCATATATTTGTGGGTGGTGCTTGTTATTACTATATATAAAATTAAGCTATAATCTATCTTTGGAAGGCTTGTGGGTAAAGTATTTATTTAGGTAAAACTGCATGGAAGAAAGACTCTGGAAGAAAGACTTTGTATCTTTCAAAGTGCTGGAGCAAACCAGAAAATGATGCTCTAGTAAGATAAAATGAAATAAAAAAAAACCCAAAAAATGTATTCTATATTTGATGATAGGATTGATAACCTTCATTCAAGTATAAATTTTATTCAGTCATTTGTATACAATTATTAGAGTAAAGCATCAGCTCAGACTTAAGTTAATAACTAATGTTTATCTAGCACATCACTTATTCATTTTGAAACTCATACATATGAAGAAACCTTGGATCAAATAAATGGTGATATTTAAGGTTATTGACAGTGTAACAAGTGGAAATGGGATCAAAACATCTATGTCTAATTCCAGAACCCGTGGGCTAATTCTTAGAACAGTGATTTCAATGACCCACAACAAGAAAAAGATACACAAATGTTCATATTTGAATAAGCTTCACAAAATAATACATATTTGTATTATTTGTAAAACACTTCATTTTTAAATGCCTCTGTGTTTGTGTGTGTGTTTGTGTGTGTGTGTGTGTATGTTTTAAAGCTGGCCATGAGCCACATGTAGATAGATTTACCAATCACCAATGGATTACAATTCACAAATGGGCTATAAGTCATACTTTTAAAAAACTACACTACACGGTCCTTCCTTGCAGGGTCCTTCCCTGTTTGCAACCTATGTAGTCACATAAGGCTCCATGCTCAGAAGGGCTCCATGCTTGGTTTAATGCTTTGATGTTGTCATCTTAAAATTCTTAATAATTTTATCTTTCAGCTTGTGTTGTGGAAGTGAAGTCCAATAGGACAATGGTGCATGTACTTGAGCAGAGACAAACCCAATCTGATTGTCTCCTGTTCCTTGCCACCTATTCACATACCGCAGGCAAGACGGTCCATTAGCACGGGAGTCTGGAGGACCTGCAATGTGTGGGAATGCAGGGAGAGTCAAAGTGACTACAAACTGTGTTATGTCTATTACTGAGGAAGTCAGGGCAGCCTTGACAGCCTTGAGAAACCATGCTTTTGATTAGGACCAAAACTTGCTTCATATAGGATAGACAAGCAATGGCATTCTAAAAAACACACATTAGGAAGTGGCCTTATCGTATCCTTTCTTACTCATAATACTTCCCCGCATTTGCCAACTTGTACTGAAAGTGATGACATGGAAGGAAGGGGGGAGACAGGGCAAGCCAGACTTACTTTTCCTTCCAGTCCTTCCTCGATCATCAGTAAACCAAAGATAGAGTGTTGGTAGGAAGTGGGTGTATCCAAAATGTAACTGAGTTAGTTTTGTGCAGCATTTCCACGGTTCTGGTAAGAATGAAATATACGGGCATATATTAGTTACACAATAAAAATTGTGTCATTTTGATGAGTCTACATATGAGTTAAATGCTATTACATTTGCATTTAAAATTGGCATTACACAATAGCACATGAATGGTAATGTTTGTGAAAATAATTTAAAATTTAAATTTTCTTTTCTTAGAATGACATTAGCTGGCAAGTAAAAACATGACAAGTAGAGAGAGAGAGAACAACAAAGAAAGAAAAAAACTTATTAATGAGCAAAGGACATGAATATATATTTTTCAAAAGAAGACATGTAAATGAGCAACAGATATAAGAAAAATACACAGCATCACAAATCATCAGGGCAATGCAAATCAAAACCACAATGAGATATCATCTCACCCTAGTTAAAATGGCTATTATTAAAAAGACAAAAAAATTATAGATGCTCACAAGGATAGGGAGAAAAGGGAACTCTTATACACTGTTAGTGGGAATGTGAATTAGCACAGCTATTATGGAAAACAGCATGGAGATTTCTCAAAAAACTCAACATAGAATTACTATACCATTCAGAAATCCCACTACCAGATATCTAACCAAAGGAAAATAAATCAGCATATCAAAGGGATACCTGCACCCCCATGTTTATTGCAAAACTATTCACAATAGCAAAGGTGTGGAATCAAACTAAGTGTTTATCAACGGATGAATGGATAAAGCAAATGTGGTATATGTACACAATGGAATACTATTCATCCATAATAAAGAATGAAATTCTGTCATTTGTAGCAACATGGAGGAAACTGGAGGTCATAATGTTAAGTCAAATAAGCCAGGCACAGAAAGATAAATATTAATACCATGTATTCTCATTCATGTGTGGGAGCTAAAAAATTTGATCTCATGGAGGTAGAGAATAGAATATTAGATACCAGAGACTGGGAAAGGTGGGTAGGTGGGAGGGAGAGGATGAAGGCAGGTTAATTAATGGGTACAAATATGTAGTTAGATAGAAGGAAAAAGTTATAATGTTTAATAGCAGACTAGGTGATTATACGCGGCAATAATATTATATATATTTCAAAGTAACGAGAAAAGGGGTCTTGGAAATGATACTAATCTATAAAAATGATAAATGCTTAAGATGATAGATACCCCAAATACTCTGACTTGATTATTGCACATTCTATGCATGTAACAAAGACTCACATCTATCCCATAAATATATAAATTATTATATATCAATAAAAGAGAAGATAGAAAAGATTCTTAGTCCTTTTAATGACACAATTTTCCTGGCTTTTGAATATGGGGCCTGGCATTTTCATTTTGCACTAGGCCCTGTAAATTATGTAGCTGCCTATAGAGGGTTCAATGGCAGCCCCCAAAATGTTATGTCCATGTCCTAATCCCCAGAACCTGTGAATAGCACCTCATAGGGCAAAAAAAGTGAATATTACCTTATGTGGCAAAAGATGTGATTAAATTAAAGATCTTGAGGGGAGAGGCCTGTACTGGATTATTTAGCTAGGCCCTAAATGCAATCATGTGTATCCTTATGAGACAGATACATAAAGAAGACACAGAGAAGAGGAGGTGGCAATGTGACCATGAAGGCAGAGATTGGAATGATGTGGCCATAAACCAAGGGATGCCTGGGGCTACCAGAAGCTGAAAGAGGCAAGGAACAGAATGTCCTCTAGAGCTGTGGTCTCCATCCCCAGGGCCGCAGAGCTCTGCTCCCACCCCCACCTCCATCCATGGAAAAATTGTCTTCTATGAAAATTAGGAACTGGGTGGAGGTAGTCACTGGGGAGGGGCACAGCAGGAGGAGGTGAGCAAGAGCCAGTGAAGCTTCATCTGTATTTTCAGGCGCTCCCTATCACTCACATCACCTCCTGAGCTCTGTCTCCCCTCCCACCACCATCTGTGAAAAAAATGTCTTCTATGAAACTGGTCAATGCTGCCAAAAAGGTTGGGGACTGCTGCTCTAGAGCTTCTGGAGGGAGCATGGCCCTTAGAAACTACATAGGTTTTTGTGCAAACAGGTAACCCAACATTTGTGTCATGTTAATAAGGAGTGGATTGATGAGATCAAGGTGCTATTACTATGGTCTAAGAGAGACATGTGACAGCATGGATTTGGGAAGTACCTTGGGAAAGAGCCAGGGCTTCTTGAGAGATAATTAAAAAGTAAAATCAACAGGATTTATTGACTGATGAGATATAAACACAGAGAGAAGAGTTAGAGATGACTCTAAAAAAAGTGTCCTGAAAGCAGGGTGGTTTAAATGGGGCATGTAGGAAACATAGAAGGTACAGTTCTGGAAAGAAACTGACCAGAAGGAAGTATAGGTTTTGGACATGGTGATTTTGAATTACCAGCAGAAATTTTGAATTGGAATTCAGATGTAAAATTTGGAGTGACCAGTAAAGAGACTGTGTTTAAAGCCATAAAAGAAGATCAAAGCTCAGGAAGAAAGTACAAAGAGGAAAGGAATGAAAAAATACAAATACACACAGTTGTGTAACCACCACCATAAATCAAGATCTTGAGCATTTCCATTCCTTGCCAAAAATTCCGGCATAGCCCTGTAGCCAATCACCCTCTATACTCCAGCCCCTTGACAAACAATAGTTGGTTTTTTAATCTTGTATTTTTGTCTTTCTAGAATGTCAGATAGATTGAATCATACAGTATGCAGCTTTTTGAATTTGACTTTGAGTTTGACTTCCTTTATTAAGTATACTGTACTTGAGATTCATTCAAGTTTCAATGACTATCAGTAGTTCATTTCTTTTTATAGCTGAACAGTATTTCATTGTACAGATACACCACAGTTTATTTACCCATCCACCAGCTGATGTACAGTTGGGTTGTTTCCAGTTTTTACTGATTATAAATACAACCAATACAAACATTTGCAAAGAAGTTTTTGTGTGAACATGAGTTTTCATTACTCTTGAGTAAACAGTTACGAGTGAGATTGTTGGGTCATATAGTAGGTATATATTTAACTTTATCAGAAACCTGCCAAACTGTTCTCTAAAGTGGCTATACCATCTTGCATTCCCATCTGCAGTGAATGAGAATTCTAGTGACTCTGTATTCTTGCCAGCGCTTGGTATTGTTGGTAGTATTATTATTTTTATTTTTTTATTTTTATTTTTTTGAGACAGTGTCTCGCTTTGTTGCCTAGGCTAGAGTGAGTGCCGTGGCGTCAGCCTAGCTCACAGCAACCTCAAACTCCTGGGCTCAAACAATCCTTCTGCCTCAGCCTCCCAAGTAGCTGGGACTACAGGCATGTGCCACCATGCCCGGCTAATTTTTTCTATATATATTAGTTGGCCAATTAATTTCTTTCTATTTATAGTAGAGACGGGGTCTCACTCTTGCTTTCGAACTCCTGACCTCGAGCAATCCGCCCGCCTCAGCCTCCCAGAGAGCTAGGATTACAGGCGTGAGCCACCGCGCCTGGCCTGGTAGTATTATTATTAATAGTCATTAGGTGTGTGTAGTATCTCATGGGGATCAAATTTTTCCATGTATCAGAATGTGTGTATTTGTCTGAGAAAAGCTTCCATAACCCCATCAGCTTGTCAGCAGTGTGTGTCTCTGTAGGTTGAGCAGCACCCAATCCAGGACTTGGAGAATAAAGAGGAGTCAAGCACACCGAGAAGTAAGGAGAAGAGTTGTAATGCCATGTGAAGAAGAAGGCCCATAACATTAACCAAGAAAAGCATGCTGTAGTCAGCCAGAAGATTCCTGGTGATCCTTGAGAAGCCATTTCAGTGAAGTAGAAGGGAGGAGATGTGAAAAAATAGGAGTGTGCTGGTTTGAAGCATAAATGAAAAGGCAATGAAAGTGGCCTATGGAGACCACTCCTCCAGGAAGGATCATGATAAAGGACTAGAAAGATCACTTACAGGCAGCCCTTAGGGGAAGTAATTTTGATAACAGTGAGCAGCTTTACTGGTATTAACATTACCTTTTTTTAAAAAAAAAAAAATGTGGTTCTTTAATGTGCACTTGATTTTACTGGCATTTACTTCAAGTTTTCCCGAGAAGCAAATTCACTTTACCACTGATGCCACTAACTTGGCTGACAAGAACTTTTGGGCACACAGAGTGTAATTGTGGCTATGAGAGCTTTCCCCAAGTACATGTCCACGGGTTTTATAACATGCAATAACTGTGCTGTCAGGAAATTTTACAAGTCAGCTGATGCATGCCTCAGTGCCACAATCATTACCCTTTCCCGTCTGGCGTGCTGTCCTGCACAACCTCAGCTAATCTAGCTGGGCATTTCCCCCCCACCTCCTACCAAAAGATGAATCCACTAAAATAAGAAGGAAATCAGCATGTGGTCAGTATGGATTCACCACACTAGTTTAGCCTCTGCTTAGATTACAAGGAAAGCTGTGGAATGAGAGGAGACAAAAATTTAGTAAAACTCAGACATTTGCACACAGAGAACACTTTTTCTCAGTTATGATGTATAATGTGAATATGAGAATGATCCTTTCCCAACTCTCTCTCCTTCTCTCTCCATTGAACACATTGTAGAAACTAGGAAGCAGAATATATAGGTTGCACTCTCCCCTTTCTATTTCTCCTCTCTTAGACACACAGACACACATAGACACACACATACACACACATATCCTGCATCCACGTTTTCATTCATGCTAGCTCAATATCTTATCCTCCACTGTTTTGAATAAGGGTATCACATTGATGTAGTTTAGAAGACTGGACATCTCGTCTAATGCTTACTGCCTCCCCTTTATTTGGCTTCAATACTAGATTCACAATTCCACTTGAATTAGCTACATGTCAATGCTATGTCTTATAACACGGCACAAAATAGGTTGCTGCAGCACCTTTGGGCCTGTGAAAAGAGCATAGGATATGGAAACAAAAGAGATGGGTTTGAGTCACAGCTCTGTCACTTACTAGCCGTGTGACTATGAGCAAGTTACAATGCTTCCACTGTCTCAGGATTTTCATCAAT